ACATGCATGAATAAATCAAAACAACTACATTAAATTTTTGCAACACTTTATTTACTTAACAGAATGGTTTCAACAACAAACCAAATTTACCAATGACTTTGAGGCAATGGAGGTCAACGAGATGAATAAATGTTTGTCAAAATTTTATGTCTCAGTCAGGAGGAAAGACGACTTTTTACAAGAGAAATAGTCTGTTGTCCATGCAAGCGGCTCTCGCTCAGTTGTTCACTGATGCATGACAGTGACAAATAAATTTAACATTCCTTTGCTCACTTCTATAATCACCTGAGTAATTAAACTAAAACAATTATTCCCCTCAGGCTCATGAATATTCACCAATATTCACTTCGCCTTCAGCGAATAATTGTTAAATAGTATGACTTCAGTTTAATCTACTAAACTTTTTTATGGCAGGCTCAGTGAGTGGATGGATTGACTCCTTTCTGGAAGCAGTTGGACTTGAGGATCTTGTGAACACTAACTATTCCAAATTGGGTAAAGCTACATTATAAATAAATTTTTAAATTTTTAGTTTTTGTTACTGAATAAATATTTTGAAAAGAACTCATTTTATTGTGCCTGCACTGGAATCCAATGGTAAAATGGTATACAAGTGTTCAGAAAATTTATCAAAACTATTTATTTAGCATTTTGTCAAGGATCCTGAAAATCTGAGTAGTTATTTATTTTTTCCCACTATTTTTGAGGGGTTAAAGTTGGTAGTCCTGGGGAGCCTGTTGGTAAAGGTTTGACAAAAAGTGCTGCAGCAGAACTAGGATTATGGGAAGGAATGCCAGTGGGTACTTCGCTCATTGATGCACATGCTGGAGGATTTGGTAAGAGTTTGCTTTTGATGGTAAGTGTCATTGTTTGACTAGCAATGTGCTTACACCCAATTTGGATTTCAATATTTTTTCTCAAGGTGTCATTGGAGCTGATTTAGGTCCACTTCTTACTGAGGATAAACCATTGACTTCACGTCTGGCTGTTATTTGTGGAACATCATCATGTCACATGGCTGTAAGTTGATAAAATTGTCATCTTGCATAATCAGTTGGTTGAGTTGGCATTTGGTCTATCTATTTATTTATTTAATCACTTTCACCAGAGTATGGTGAGGGTCGCACAACAGAGTGAGGCTCCAAATTAAGTACGCCCAATATCCCACCCATCCCACCCCAGGGGAGGACATCCATCACACAGTAATCTCGTGTGTGGGAAATTAACATCTCCTACCCCAACCCTGCAGGAGACGGGACCTCCATTTATTCGTCCCTATCCGAGAAGGCTAGAATATCTAACCATTTCTTGATGTTATAGAAAGGCAGCAAATTCTTCTCAATTATTTTAAGACCCTGAGTGTTGATCTGGCCGGGGCTCGAACCCTCGCCCTCCCACACAACAGTCCAGCGCTCTATCCATTGAGCTAACCGGGATAAGCCATAAGCCAGCCAGTCTGTCAGCCATTAATTAGTCAATCTCAAGTCACTGGGTTAGCTAGTCCATCAGTTTGATTCTTATTTCATTAGTCACAGAGCCAGTCAATCAGGTTACTGTTAATAGCAGTCAATACATAGTTATTTAATACCTTTTAATTTAATTTTACATTATATTTTATCAATTTTTATTAACTTGATATCTTTGCTTTGTAGATTAATCAAAACCCAGTGTTTGTGCCAGGGGTCTGGGGCCCATACTTCTCTGCTATGGTACCAGGTCTGTGGTTAAATGAGGGAGGCCAAAGTGTTACTGGGAAACTGGTGAGAGTTGCACTGTATCATTTTACACCCATACTGTGAATAAAATTATATATTTTTAAAACCAGCATAGAGACGCAACCAAATTGGGTTGAAGCACTATTGTAGAAAGAATCTTAGTGTAAACTTTTTGTAGTCTTTGTTTTGGTGAGGAGGGTTAAGATCTAGCCGGACTGATATGAGTCTATAATGCTGTAGATTGATCATCTTATAGAGACACATGTGGCTTGCAAGGAGCTGAAAGAAAAAGCTGAAAAGAGGTTTGTTTTGTGTTACATATTGTTGGTGTTATCGTGTTCTAGAACTCCTGCATCGCTACATGAAGTGTTAACACAACTGTAGTAGCACTAAAAAATTCACTAATGTCCTATTTATGATCTTCCTTTTTCACTCTTTCAGGAATTGTTCCCTGTACGAGGAACTAAACAATCACGTGGCCACCTTGGCTGAGAAGCGACAGCTTGACAACCTGGCATTATTATCACGCGACTTTCACGTGCTTCCAGATTTCCATGGAAACCGATCGCCTATAGGAGATCCCAAAATGACAGGAATGGTACTGATAAAATTTAAACCGTTCCCAGTTCCCCCTCCTTCATTGTTTCCATCTGCTTGTACATTGTGTCCGCAGTTTCACCCCGATGGCAAGAGCTCTCTTAGGTCGAACCTGTCGTTAAACTCGAACTAAATTTTGTTTGCCGTCTCTTAGATTTTTATTTTCCGTAAAACGTCCGAAATAAAAACTGGTAGAATATGAAACAGCTCTGTCTTAGTGTCAGTATTAACTCAGTGCGTCTTTTCTTTTCCTGCAGATTTGTGGTTTAACTCTCACCGCTGATCTTGATAACCTGGCGGTTCTGTATCTCGCTGTACTTCAAGCCCTTGCAGTTAGTATGGACTACAAATTGACTACCGAAAATGGCTCAGTATTTGCTATCATATATCTAGCTTAGAGTGCTCATTCGTCAATATTGTTGTTGTCATCCTTTTTTTTCCCTGCTTTAATAGACCCGTTCATTAGCTGCCTTAATATTTGCCTGAAACAAAAAGACAAAGAAAGAATTCAAACAATGTCAAAAGTAAAATTAACAGAGTGTAACATCGAGTTCCTTTGGTAGCTATCTTCCCTGGGAAGTTTGTAGACGACTCGCTGTGATACCGCCAACTTTTTCCGGGAAAGCAAGAGTAATCGATAGATAAAGTCGCCCCTTTTTCTATCTTCCACACAAAATGTAAAATACTTTCTCAAATGAAGTTAAGCTTTATCGCAACGAAATTTAGTAAAACACAACTTTCCTGTTGTTTGTTCCCACCAGCATGGAACTCGCCATATTGTGGAATGTTTAAACGAAGCAGGACATTCGATTGACTCACTGTTCCTCTGTGGTGGACTCTCCAAAAATGAATTATTCATCCAAATACATGCTGATGTGACAGGTATGTTAATTCTTGTACATTTGTTGATTTATTTCACTCCATTCGAGTCAGGATGAAGTGTTGTCCGCTTATGATCCGAAAGGTTTGCATTTCTAAAGCACCACTGAGAACAGGAAGCTAATTTAAAAGGTCGTTGAGAACAATTTCGTATACCCATTGCATCGTCCACCTCTAAAGCAAAATTAGTCTCCATCTTCCTGCATTGGTGTAGTCACTAAATTAAAGGCGAATCTATATAGAGTAATAGTGACTTCTTACTAGCCAATTGTAAAGGCTAGTCAGCCTTACCTTTCCATATAATTTGTAATTAACTTATTTATGTATTCATATTGTAGGTTTTCCTTGTATTTTGCCGCGCGAGAGTGAATCAGTGCTCGTTGGCTCGGCAATTCTTGGAGCATGCGCGTCAGGGGATTTTCCTTCAATCCAGGTAAGTGCCTCAACATTCCACACTATTCCCTAGAAAGTGGTATGTTATATTTTGGAAGGTGACGTTTCAAATTGACGAGTCAAGAGGACAAAGCTTTCTTGCCCAATCCAAGACAAATCTAAATTCTTCTAACCAGTATTGTACAAAGAGAAATTTTGTGAAGTGCTCCTTGCCAGAATTCAATTACACCAAAGTCATATCCAACACTGAGAGTATCTACAGTTCGCAAAACAAACTACACTCTCTATACAGTAACTGAAAACAAACGTGACTAAGTCTCCCGGGTTTTCTCGCTCTTTGGTGGGTTGTTTGTTTTCCTATGAGTTACTCTTGGTTCCTTGGGAGGTTATCCGTAACTCTGATTCCTGTTTTGATAACTTTTGTTTTAATTTCACGACATTCAATCGAATTAGAAATCAAGCGGGAATAATCTGTAACTTGAAACCTGGGAAGACTGAGGGATTTGTGCCGTTCATCTTGTCATCTCATTTTTTCTTTTACCTTTGATTGAAGGAAGCTATGAAAAGCATGAATGCTGCAAAAAAAGTTGTGAAGCCACAAAAAAGTGTCAAAGGGTAAGGAAAGAGGAACCCCACTCTCCATAAGAATATTCCGGTAGTACTTCGTTTTGGAAAAGTTACAAAAGCTGGCAAAATGAAATGAACAATGCCGCTTATTAAGTTAGGAGATCCTTAGCCTTGCAGCCTCTCCATGTCTTGCTTCGTTGTGAATGAACGAACGAAAGAAAGAAAGAGTGAGAAAGAATGCATATAATTTTTTACTAATTGGAATGCTCTTGAATGTTGTGTACGATCACGTCCAAAAAAACTCTACAATAACATTTAAGGAACAAGTCTGTTGGTTTCATAACCATTACAATTTATTAGCTAAGGTCTGGTATCGCATACGGTTCATTACGATGACGAGCCCTTCGAACATATTCTTCTGACTCCAACATTTCTCGGCCCCTTAAGTGTCCTCTAATATATATCATGGGTACACGTAGATGGACAAATTTATAGTTATTTATAGCAGAGCCGCGCAATCAAATTCAGTATAGGTAAGCGTGCTCAAAATCCCGATAGTGTACGCTGATACCGAGAGCAAATCGCTTCGCCAGAAATTTTTTCTTTTCGCGCGAGCGGCCATTGTTAGCGCGGGGAAAAATAATCTATTTCGCGACAATAGAAGCTAGAGTTGCCCTCGGCTATTGCCTCGGGCAACTCTTGCGCTTTTTTCGTGCTCTCCAAACTTCCCACGTGCTCCATAGCTCGATAGCGCACTCTAAAGCGTGAACCAGTTCAGTGGAATGAGATCAAGTCTTCATGTAGTAACACTGAAAAACATTACCTCGAAATGATAGGGACAAAGTAATTAGTTTGAAAACAGTTAATCATGTAAGAGAGGAACGACTGTTTGTGCCACAACGAAATGATCTCAAGCATGTATACTCAAGGGCTTGACAACCAAACACTCAGTCTTACTATGGCGTATGGCCAAGGAGATAGACTCTATATAAACCAACAAACAGGCAAAAAAAAAAAAAACAAAACAGAAATGCCGCCCGCTCTTAATACTTGTGTTCCTTGTTTTGTTTCATTCCAGGTTTTACGACAAAAAGCACCAAGTTTTTTTACTGATGTTGACGATCGAAATGAACTTTAGAGAATTAATGAAAGATTTATGTTTTCATAGTGCACTTGTACAAGACTTTTTCACATTCAAGAAAGGATGAACCGCCTCGAAGGCTGATTTTGTGAATGAGATTCTGTACCGGACCACTTACAATATTGAAACAATACAATATTCATTTGTCATTAAGTTCGAGAGCAAGGGTTAAGTCCTTAACTCAAAATGCTCATTAACAATTTGTTATCAAATGAATTTATCATGAATATCAAAGACGTTGAAATTGGTAATTGAGATGGGTCGTGCACCGCAAAACACCCTCAGCAAAAATCTTTTTAATGCATTAAAAATGTGTTTAGTAGTCCATTTTGTAATAGTGTTAAAGCCACACCTCTTTCTTGGGCTGATAAAGTTCCCTCTGAATATTGAAACAATAAAATTTTGTTAATGAGTTAGAACACTCGGTCAAGGTCGTTTTCGTGACAGTACGCCGAATGCTCATTGTCAAAATTCTTGTTTCAATATCCATGCGTTTATATCTCAGCAAAAACGAAGATTTGCGGGAGAAATTTTCTTGTGTAACAGAGGGTTTTAAGCTGTGTATTCTGTGCAACTTTCAAAGTCTTGGGCCAAGAAAATCCCCTCTGAATATTGAAACAAAATGAAGATTTTCGGATGATAGTAGGAGCTTGTTCAGTTGGCTATTAAGCTCAAATTTTAAAATTTGCCGCTTTTTTTGGGGGGGGGGGGGGGCTGAGAATTTTGTTGATGATGAGCTGAAAACTTTTTGGAACGAACAGTACAATCTCTTTGAAGTAAAATGATTGAGAACGGAATATTCTTAGTACTAGCACTAAAATGCAAAACAATTAACGGAGCAATTTCATTCATTTAACTTAAGCAAAACCTTTTATTTACCAGAAAAAGCGGATTAGGCTTATTAAGGGAAGCCTATTTACGCTGCTTATGAAAGTGACATTTGTGTCGAATTTACAGTGAATCACTCTTAGTGCAAATGTAAACAAAATATGGCGGAAAATTTTAACTCTGCTCATTATATCCTGATATTGTATCCACAACTAGAACAAGGAGGCATTTTGTTTTCGAAGGAGACGACTGTTACACAAGGCTGTGGAAATAACCTTAAATCACTAGCTATAATATCCGATTCTTAATATCAGACCATAGAAATTATTTGTAACGAGTAAATCAAGTAACAAGGCCTTTGGAGACAGAAAGCTGGGCTCTAATGTGCAGCGCTGACCAACATCTCCCTTCCCCTTCCCCAAAGGTTCTTTTTACTGTGAGGAAGCGAATAGTCTTTCATCTAAATGTGCATGAGATATCAAAAGTTTCCTTGTTATAACAGTGTCCTACCGTCGTAACGACACTTACCTCACTTATAATTAAAGTAAATTCATGTCGTTTATCGCTAAACACTTATTACTTATGTCAAAGGTTGAATCTATGAATCAATCTACAGTTGCTCTGCGTTCGTTCCTTGGAAATATCATTCAACCAATCAGATCTCAGCGACGCCTGGTTCCACCGAAACCTGCAGAGAAATTTTGACTGCAATGAGGTTCTCACATTGTTTGTTCTACGTCGTGGTATTTTTATTGTGGTGCACCAAAAAGTAGTCACTCCACCTGCAATGGGTGGCACACTGACCAATCGATATCCTACAGGAGATTTCTCCCACAGAACAGATCTGAATATCTTAAACGGAATATGTGGTTTTTTTTTTTTTTAGTATACCAGGACAGAACCTACTGTTCTGTTAAGATAACGAATCCAACAGCAGATGCATATTTAAGAAAAAGACAATACTGCCACCGTAATTCGCACACACTCTTAACTTTGTCTGATTCGCGACCAGTTAAAAGACAAATCAAATCATCTGAAATACAGCGGGTTTTCAGTTCAGGACATGCTCACCTGAAGTGGTCCGAGAGCTTGGAGAGGTGGAGCTTCCTCTGTAGTTGCTGCCTGAGGTCCAACCTGAGGAGGATCCTGAGGACCAACTGTTGTTAGACCCAAACCAGCCAGATCCCCCACCAAAACCGTATCCAGGCCATCGCCGATTGTACCTCGGACCATGATAACCATGGTGATCATAGTAAGTACTGCGACTGCTGGGTGGAAGAAAAAAGAATTACGATGGGACATTACCTCAGTAATCACGGTGACAAGAAACTAATATTGTGACGGGTGGTACAATAATTATAAAAAAATGTCTTTATCATCGTCGCGTTAACACGACTGGAACCGGCACTGTTTTCTATATGGTTATTGTCATAGTCACTGTCATCAGTTAGGCATCAAACAATCACAATCTTTATCAAAATTGTTTCCGTTTCCCTCACTGTTATCGTTATCGACATTTTTTCCGTTTGCGTTACTGTTATTCGATTTCGCTACCGTTATTCGTTATCGTTACTGTTCTCGTGGTTGACATAATGGTTAGATACGTATGCTATCGTTACCGACATCAATTGTGTTATTATAAGCGAACATGAAAGCCGTTTTTGAAAGACGACCAGCAACTGGAAGGAGAATACAACTACTTCAGGTGCGCTTTCCACATCAGTCAATTCACTGAAAAGCACTTGTTACTGCATTTAAAATATCAAAAGGTCTGTCGTAAGTCCCCAAGGTTAAAAAATCTTTCTTTCGTGTTGTTGTCTACGTTTAAAAGACGTAGGTGCTAATTACTGTGTTTATTATCAAAGTGTAGTTTATTCCTTACCCTGAGCTTCCAAACAGATATCCCAACAGTCCCCCAGTAGCAGCTCCTATATTGCATTATGGGAAATAAGGAAAATTGTTATGATTGAAACTCTCAATGGAAACTTAAAAACGATCGGGGGAGCGTTACACATATCCGAGGTTTCTATGGTCGAGAGAAAGTCTCAGTTTTTGTTAATTTGAACACTATTTTAATATTCAAGAATAGCAGGGGTAAAAAAAGGTGAAAGCTTGATCACTTTCTTCAACACCTTGCGACTGCACCTTCATAACCACTTCTTTAAGATCAACAGGATGTGTATTCTGAACCTTTGTAGACTCCATGTCTCCTACAAGCTTAGCTGTTAGTCCATGATAGTCTATCAATAACTAAACGGACTCTTGGTAAAAAGGTTTGGTCTATTGTAATCACCTGACCAAAATCCTTGCCCACCAGCAGTCCCTGCTGCATCTCCTGCCCCACTGCTGTAATGTGTATTGTGGCCACCTAACAGCAATGAAAAAACAGACAGGCTTTCAGGGCACAGCTGAAGTGAGGGGGGAATTTGTGACCCCCCCCCCCCTTGTTAAATGTTGAAAAAGTGATGGTTCATGTGAAGATGCTCAGGTAGGACCCCTTCACTACCTATCCTATACACCAGATCTTACCAGTGTGCCCAAGAATGAAAACATTCCACAATGATCCCACAAATATTTGATTAAAGAAGGTAAAACTGACAAGAGTAGGTACCCAAGGCTAGTAAACCACAGATGCTGTCCAATATCACTCTTCTTCACCTTCCTCTTTTTTTTCTATCTATTTAATTACATTTTTTTTGGAGGGGGGAGGGAGGGCAAGGAGAGCGAGGCTCCAAATTAAGTGCGCCCTATATCCCACCCATCCCACCCCAGGGGAGGACATCCATCACACAGTAATCTCGTGTGTGGGAAATTAACGTCTCCTACCCCAACCCTGCAGGAGACGGGACCTCCATTTATTCGTCCCTATCCGAGAAGACTAGAATATCTAACCATTTCTTGATGTTATAGAAAGGTAGCAAATTCTTCTCAATTATTTTAAGACCTTGAGTATTGGTCCAGCCGGGGCTTGAATCCTCGACCTCCCGCACTACAGTCCAGCGCTCTATCCATTGAGCTAACCGGGAGGCGGTCTAATAGAACAATTTAACCAGTTCTAAGACAAAAGTAATGAAATATCACTAAAATATAATAAATGGAAGACTAGAGAGAAGAAACTTGTGTGACCACTGGAAAATGAAAATGTTGGTTGTTATAATACAAATTTCACCATGTTGCAAATTACACATAACATATTACAAGTATCGTCCATAATGTTTGCTTAATAAAGGATAATCTATATACAAGGCTAAAAGATGAGGAAAAAAATTATTAAAATGTTTAAACCAAACGTTTTCACCTGTTTGCCATCATAAGGGCAAACAGCTGAAAACGTTTGGTTTAAACATTTTAATAATTTTTTTCCTAATCTTTTAGCCTTGTATATAGAATATCCATATATTACAAGTAGAAACTATAGGATACGGCTGTGCTTGGCTCTGTGTCAGACGCTGGTAGATGTAATATACAATCCAGGCAATGACTCCCCAGGTGATAATGGTACTAAGCCAGCCACCAGAATGTCTATAAAGAAAATCAGTTTCAACTTGTGATTTGTGTTGTTTAATCAGGTAATTTTATGAAGGCAAAACATGGCCACTTTCATTTGTTTACAGTCTTACCAAAAGATAGGGGTTAAGCTAGTTTTGCAAATCAACATCATCGAAACAAAATCATCTCAACAAAACACAATGGTTCTGTATTTAAATGAATGTACAATTATACTGAAAATCAAATATCAATAACAATTGTTTCTTTCTTGAACCAAAATAATTAATTTAAAACAATCCCTAACCTTGTGGTCAGCATTTTAATGACACTATTACATTCCGTAACAACATACCTGGAGTGGTAATTATGTCTGTAGTAGTTGGGGTAGCTGTTGTCCCTGTGCCCAGAATGATAATTATTGTGATCATAATAACCTCCACTACTAACCACATCAATTGTGTATTCCAACTGCAACAGTAAAACAAATTAAAATCGTTAGTAATAGTTTCATATGAAAGATAAGAAAACATTTATAAGGCAAGAGTGCCCAAATAAGCCAATGGGCATGTATAACATGCTGTCTTGCATGCACAACAAAGTTTTGTTGTAGCAACTGAGTTGATAAAATGTAAATTGGCCACTGTAAAGGGTTTCTAAAGCAATGTTTTGAGTGTTAGCCCTTCACCACAACAATACGATGCTTTTATACATACCCCACAGGAACCTTTTAGAATGTATGGGTCATCACGATAGTCATAACCTTCACAGCTAACTGCAACTTCACCAAACTTATACTGACTGTCCATGTCTGTCTTGCATTCCCACTGCAAAAATATATCACAGTATACAGAACAAATATCAACAATGGGCAATTTACTCTAATATACTAATATACTAATATTTACTCTAATATAATCTTCATTCATGACTACAAAATTAAACTCCTTTTACAAGTTACCTGAACATCATAACCATCTGACCCACGATTGTAACACTGAACAACACTTGGAGTAAAAGCTGAACAACCTGCTGAACCGCCAACACACTTTAACTGAGGAACAGGGTGGCTACGACGGGAATTTGTCATTTTTCCCTGGTGTAATGTAATGACATTGACATCTGTTAATCTTATCTTGTCATTTCCACCCCAACCTATGGCTGTAAAAGAAACAATTTCATTCAAACAGTTAATACACAAGTCAAATCAGGGGTGTAGTGTGACATTTTGAAGGTGTATACACAGTGCAGAAATTGGGAGTGCTGAAGGTATGATGGGAGACTAGGGGCATGCTCCCCAGAAATTTTTGAAATTCAGGGTCTTGGAAATCCCATTTCCAACTATTTCCACAGAACTCTAATTGTTTCTTGGGATTTTCAGGCTTTACACAGTCAATGACTTCAGTTGCATTTTGCATCATATGCATTCCCAATCTGAGTTGAGTGCAATTACTTCTGAAGCCACAAAGCATTTAAGGGAAACCTCTTTGTCAAAGATGACCCTAGACGGGAGATTGGGGAAAGGCAAGGACCACAAATTAAAGCTAAAATAACTAGAGAGTTAACAAGTCTAGGAAGCCAAATAACATTTCTTGTCTTTTATGAATAATTAATGAAAAGGTACTGGTAGTACAAACAGACACACCAGCATAATTCGAAATTTAAAAATTGGTCCTATTTTAAGGTAATTGTGACAAATGCTAGAAGGGAACATTAAAAATAAATTTTCTCCAGATTTCAGGTGTACACACAGATGTACATGTGTATATGGATGCTACGCCCCTGAAAATGATACACTTACTGATATAACTTATCAGACGATTTGTTGTGTAGTATCGCTGAGTACTTTTATGAGTTGTGCTGTATTTTGACGAGCCCATAAGGCAAGTCAAAACACAAATAACGAGTAAAAATACTCAGCAATACTACACAACAAAACCACTAATGAGTTATTTATTATCCAACCCGCCAAATTATTATTTCAGTGCAGGCAAATTTTCCAGATATTTATTTAAGGGCAGCGCGCAACAGAAGTATGTGAAGGGAATGCAATTGGCACATTGTCGTGTTGCTGTTTCTATTTTCTTCAATAAACAGAGAATTTTTCTGTTCGTCTAGCTGTTTTTCCTCGTTCAATCCATCTAATAAACTTGGATCTATATTTGCCAGCCATTCTGACTCTACGTCATCAGAAGTATATTTCAAGTTGTCTCCCATTTTGTTTTTGGTAACTTCAATCCAACTTGTTGCTTGCACAATGCTAGAAAGCCTGTCTAACCTGTTCTCAGAGTACAAATACCACGTTATAATTTTACTTGTCCTGGGCATTATTTGTACTCTACGGAGTGTAGTTGGGTGATTAGTTGTACTACTAACTCCCTCTCCACAATACATAAATATCAGCTTTCAGACCATAAAAGAATCATAGAAAGTTAAATTATGCTCTACAAATAGACAAAGGTATTTAGAAACAAACTCATTTATAAATTAATAATTTAGTAAAAACCACTATATAGTAAGTAAGTAAGTAAGTAATTTATTTACCCACATTTCACAATTGAGTATAACTCGTTTTAACGTGAACGTGCCAGGTTAAAATAATATATATAACAAGCTAGACAATGATAATAATAGTAATAAAAAGGAACTATAAAATCAAATGGGAATCATGATGCATATATAGGAAATCAATAGGAATCAATAAGACTAAGAGGGAACAAGCTAGGGATAAAATAAACTATGTACAAAAGTTGCATTCACACTCCACACTGGTAGTCAAGTTGACCTCGTCCAGCATTGATTTAGAAATATTAAGAGAAGGAGCTCTTCTTGCATAGTCAGGTAGATTATTCCATAATCTTGTAGTACATACATACATACATAATGAATCTGCTGGAATAAGTAGGCTGATCAAGCTTGCAGAGGCCTCTGAGGTCATATTTATTATTACGAAATAAAAACATCTCCCTGATATTATTCGGCCCCATGTTATATAAGCATTTATAAAAAAAAAAAGCAGAGAGCATGAGAATATCTGTGATGCTCTAGGGTCTTCAGTCCCACATGGTCAAGTAAGGTACTATATGAGTTTGACTTAACCATGTTTAAAAGAGTTCTAATGGCATACTGATTAGTGAGCTCCAGTTTGTTAGATAGGCCAGATGATAACCCAACTAAGACTGGAGCACATTACTCTAAGTGTGGCAAAATAAATGCCTTGTAAATATTGACGATCACTTCTGAAGGTATGAATTTACGAACTCTCCTAAGAGCACTAACTTTGGCATTAACCTTATTACACACGGATTTAATGTGGGCTTTAAAAGATAAGGAGCTGTCAATAGTTAGACCTAATAACTTCATATCGTGTACCATATTCAAGGGAGGCCTAGTACGGTCAGCAAACAATTCATAACATGGCGGATTATCACCCAAAGGCAATACTTTAGTTTTAGATTCGTTTATATTTAAGTAATTACGCTTGAACCATGACTGCAGCACATCGAACTTTCTCTGAGATCTTAACTCTAAAGCATATTGAGTAGGGTGTGACAGATACAGTGTCGTATCATCAGCATAAAGCCTTAGTTTAGCATCTTTGACAAAATAAGTGAGATCATTAATGGTGATAATTATGGTGACAGCAAAATTAACTATAATTATGGTGACAGCAAAATTTCAAGCTGAATTTCAATTAAGAAATCAGAAAGAGATTTTTTGTTTTTGCATTCAGCTATACTACGCTCAGCGAATATACTATTCAGAGTAATATACTGAGACTGGGCCACTATCTTGCAAGAAGGAACAAACTTGTCATTGAATAAGAATAGCATCTATTGTGTTATGCTTCATTCTTCAAAGCCTCCCGACAGATGTAAATGATGTGGACGGGTATTCTGAAGTTGCTCCATGTTCTTTTACGGCAGATGCAATTTTCCCACACAATTATTCATTGGATAGACTTACTCGCTCCTCTACACATTTAAAACGTGATATGCAAGCTTACGAGCTACTCAATACAGTAACGAAGAATTCGTCACTCAAGTTTCTTACCTCCAGTAATTAAAACACTTCCAAACAGTCCAATAAATGTCCACGATACTCTAATAAAAATAGCTTCCATCCCTCTTACAGAAATACAATGTAAAATCACAGATGCTTCCAAATCGGTTTTCACTAAAACACCTGTTTACTTCGTTTCGAGCCTGAGTTCACTTGTTATCGAAAGGATAAATGACAAGACCGAAATTTACGTCGGATATCAAAATAACCCAAAGGAAACGTTACAAAACAACATTGGTTAGAAATGTCCTTATATCATACGATGACAAACTTGCATCATGTTACCCAGGCTGCTCAGAAGAACGTTTTGTGAAAGACTGGCACTAGCTAGACTGAAACTTATTCCTCGCGCAGCCTCATCTTGTCGCTAACAAGACCGTAACAGAGTAAACAGCTGTTCGTGGCTGGTGAGATGCTCCCTGGCTTAGTTTTCAGCATTTCTTGGAAAGGAAGATCTATTTTCGCTAACATAGCTCCAATCTGTGGTTGAACTTACTTGCCATTTACAGCCACATTGGACTAGCTAGCATTGACATTGATATTGTTGTCAGTGTTCTTTTCGAAAGAAACCACCTCCCTGTAAGTTACAACTGTCGCTTTAGTCCCAATTCTGGAGCCTCCATTTACAAGGCTTCCTTCTTCGTCTGGAGTTTTCCCACTCCCTACATCAGCAAAAGCTCAAGAAAAACTTGAAACTTGTGATAAACAGACTTCATTTATCATCTACTGCTATAATTAAAATCGTGACGCCCACAAAAACTTCGATAAAAATTCAGAACATCTGTGTGCTTAACATAAGAAAGACCAGAAAAATTTTTGGCTCAATAAGGAAAGAAAAATAACGATTATCTATATCGCTCTTATTTCTTTTTTGTAAACCAAGTCAATAAATTCAGTTATTCGCCATCCCCTGCAACGAGGAATATGTGTGGTCATGAGGTTTTGTTTATGGCTTATCTTACACAGAAAGCATTTATGTGAACATATGGGCACTATTTTGTTATTTTAAAACATTTGTATAAAACATGCAAAGAAGTAAGTTCGTATCACGTAGAAATTGTAGGTGGGCGACCAAAAACAACATAACTTCTCTAATGGATGTCAGAATTAAATTCACCTTAATGCAAGGTTTTCCACAATAGGTATCATGATCCAAATGGAAGCTTCCTTAATTGCCCTTAGTTCCAGCATCTTCCTTAGTGATTCGTTCGTCAGTCATCAAATTAAAAACATTACTGCCATGAAAGTGACAGCTACAGTAATTTCACCTATTAAAAACATGTTCCTCAAGCCATACTAGTTCTCATATATGACTTTCGTTGCTCATTTTAGCAGCGACTGATGCAAGATGAGCTTCAGCTTAAAAGCATTAGGGGGTCTGTTATCAAAAGGTTTGTTGCATAAAACGGTTTTTTCATTACTGCTTATGTCCACCACTAAATCTCACCACGTTTAGCTACTGGTGCTTAACTGTAATGCCGAATGCTTTAGACAAACAATTTTTTCACTTTTTTCCTCTATGGGACTACCTAACACGCGAAAATATAGATATTTTTCTGACGATTTGAATTCATCAATGGTTTGCAAAAATGCCTTTAAGTCCCAGATAAAAAATTGGTAGGGGGGCCTACATTTCCATAACACGTTTATCCAAATTAATTGGGAAAAAAAAATTTATACTTTATTATTAATATTTTTAGGGACGGATAAGATAGCAAGAACAGTTCCGTGGCCAGTTGCGCAAAAAGATACGCACCGATAGAAAGTCATGATATTATGATCGATAAGCTAGCGGGTGATTTTCCTTTTACCGAGTGAACAAAGTTGCTTTTGATATGTTAACCAAAAACGGAGAAATAGAATGCCTCTAATGAACCGGTTGCGGATAGACCTGTCCTCTTTTAAGTCTTTCCAGGCTCCTCGTAAATGCAGAATTTCATTTTAAATTCACAAAACCCTGAACACATAAACAGAACAACTGTAGATGGAGAAATTTCACCTTAGGCAAATTTGTTTCAACCTTTACGATCTCATCGTTACTTACCATTTTAATCAGTATTTTAATTTTACATATGGTTTTATGGTTCAATATCGAGAGAGTTTTATTTCATTTTCTCTTTTAACAGTGACGCGTTAAAGCACATCATCCTTTTATTTATGTTAATCCAAACAGGTGGAGATGAGTTGATGTTTGCAGAATCAATAACGAGCGCCATCGGCCGTTTCAAGAATAGAAACAAACTCAAGACTTGATAAACAGATCAAAGAAAAAGTACTCATGGCAAAAGTCACCAAAATTCAAATCATCAAATTCTGATTTCTGACATTCTACTTTGCGATAAAATGTTTTCTTTTTTTACTTACAGAGTGTACGAACCAATCGAATTAACCTTTTTTTTTTTTAGTCTTTGTACGAATAATGACTTTAATCTTCCTTGAAGATTTGCTCACTAAATGTTTTTTGGTGTGTGTGCGTAGGCTTAAACTGCAATTAATTCGCTACAAAATGTGCTACTTGAAATTATTTTCCTAGATTAGTTAGCTTGTATGCATTTGCAACATCTTTTTAAAAAATTTTTTCTTGACTTTCACGCACTGTTCTAACTCGTTTAACTACAGTTAAACTAGGGGCTGTTAACGAGAGGACATAAGCCATCTAATTGCCACTCATAACTTCTTTCTTAATTAGAAGATGAACCCCAGGAGGCAACACAGAAAAATGAATTGACGAGGAATTCAGATGTTCCGAGGCATGGAAGTGGGCTAGAGAGCCCAACATTTCCAAGATGGCGTATGACATTTATGTCATCAGAGGAAGGATCCTTGGATTCTGATACAGAATTTTTGGGGAGCATCTTCTCAAGGTCCGGAAGCCAGAATCTGGACGCAGCAGGACTGTCTGCCTCAAAAACTACAACTAACAATCGACAATCCAGTTTGGGAGACACTTATCGCAAGATCGTAAGTTTGCGACTGCTCTTGATTTTTAGAAATATTTCTCTCTCCTTAGTTTGGGGACACGATAACGCAGAAGTTCACGCCTGGACATTGACAAGTCAGAGTTGAGGCTCAGTGTTGGGTTATCAGTGACGTGTTCTGAGGCAAGGCAGGGGAATCGCGCCTCTTACAATTCCTGTGTCCACTTGGGGAGCCTGAAGAAATGCTGACGGTGACAGAAAAGTTTCCTACGCAAACCAAAATAAGCTTTGACGGGAGTGAACTACTTGCTTTGTAAGACTAAATTACGGGAAGCCATTGTGTTTGTTTACAAAAAACAAAATCATTGCATGGTTATTCCACGTACTAAATTTCATGTGATACCCTTGAGGCCTTACTTGAGCGATGTTGATCTTATTTCAGTACCGCAATTTTACAGTTGGCAAGTCTATTCACTTAGCAGCCCTCGCTGGTGATCTCAGAGAAGTACAAAGATTGATCAACAATGGCGTTGGTAAGATTGCAGCTTGTCTGTTGTACTGTAGATTGTACGAATGCCTTGGTTAAAAGGGATGCAGTTAAGAGCTCTATAAAAACCGAGAAACCTGTTCAGCGAAACGTTTGTTTATGGTGGTTTTGAACACAACAGATATCCATAAGCCGGATCACCATGGTAACACTCCTCTGATGTGCGGGGCACTGGCTGGCAGCCTCGCTGTCGTACAGCTGCTGATCCAAATGGGAGCCGAAACCACAAGTGAAGACAACATGGGGAACACAATATTGCACTCCGCCATACAAACTGGCAACGAAGACTTAATAAAGGTTTGTTTAAGATCACTTAGCAGCAATGACATACCATCTAATATATTACCTAGTCAAGAGCGTCAACAGTTCTTTACTTGGGAACAAGATGGTGAAAGAAAAAATTCTTGCATTACTTGACAAATTTTGCTCTTGCACACGCTGTACAAGCAACTTAGGGCATTATAGTTGCATCCATGTACTAGCAGTTGTGTTGTGTTTCTCTTCAGCTGTTGCTTCATTCCGGTTCCCAAATCGACGTGAACAAGATTGGCAGTGGTGGTCTTTCTCCATTGCAGCTTGCAGCTCAGTCAGACAAAGCAAAATTGTGCAGACTACTGGTGAGTAAAAAGTTCAAGGATGACATGCTCTAACCTATGACCGAAGTAACTGATGACCAGGACATGTTAGCCAATCTACGGCGCGCATAGCCAATCAGAACTGAGGAAAATATTGCAGGAGGCCAGTGAGAATTCAAAGGGCAAACAAAAAAATTGCCTCATAAGAGTGATTAATTGAACAGATCAGGTTTTAACTTAACTTCTGATTGATTGAAAAATTGGTGCCTATATCTATGCAGCTAACGATGAATAATAATGTAATAATATCGATATAACTCATGTTTTATCTTTCCAGGCTGATCATGGAGCACAGCTAGACTGTAACCATGGTAACGCTCTGACACTGGCTGTGTTGAAAGGCTCTAAGGATGCTGCTGCTTGCCTCTTTAATCTCGGTAAGAACATTTAGTGTTTATGCTACGTCCGTTTTTTCCTATTTTAAATGGGCCTTTGAATCTACAATAAATGCTACAGTAATTATTCTAAACAGCGCCATTCTTCGAGCCCGGGCTTAAATGGTCATGAAAAGTACCCGTCATCCCTTTAGAGTTAAACTGATACAAAATGAAGTTTGAAAGTAGTCTATGTGAATCTATCAGCATATGATGAAGTTGCCGTCTCAGGACGCTGTTTACTCAAGTTAATGGCCACTGAGGTTAAATTCAGAATGACAAGAAAGTTTTGTTTATCATTTACAGTTAATGAACGTAACATTAGACTGGACTCGTTTATCTACGATGTGGATGATGGCGGAAACAGTCTTCTCCATCTTGCCGTAGAAAGCTCGGTTTTCCAGGTTGTATTGTTGCCTCTTTGCTCGAGAAACTAAATAAATAATGATTAACACCTAAGTTATTACCCAAGTGGTAAAAATAAACTTAGTGAGAAAAAGACAATCTTTGATACCGTTTTGGCTTTTCCTATCATAGAGCTGGTATGGAAATGCAAACCTGAGTATAGGTCAACCAACACCGTTGTATCGGTACTTCAGAAAACGCCGCAAAATCGTACTCTTCAAGTTATCAGATCGAAAGTAACCACACCAGAAACTTCCATGTGTGCAGTTTTATGAATTTTCCACAGTATCAACTTATTCGGCACGACAAGCGGTAGGCCTAGCCCCAAGTTGCCGATGAATCTCAAAAAAGTTGCCGATAAAAGTGTCAAAGTTGCCAAAAAGTTGCTATTTTTTTCCGAAAAGTTGCTGAATTTCCAAAAAGTTGCCAAAATTTTTCTGCTTTTCGTACCTTTTTTGGGTGTTAAAGATTACACATTCGCATATTGCTTCTTATCAAAAATTTATTTGTCAAAGTCCAATGATAATATCTGAGGTTCTTTCCATTTCACTTGATCAACAAATAGTCACTGTAGTTGTCCGCCATCTTGAAAAACGTGCAACGTGATACCGCTGACTTCGTGATAAGGCATCACAAAAATCAACCCATGGGGGGACCCTAATTATTGTGTTTTAGAATAAATTGAATAAATGTCTATCTAAAACTGACCAATGTGGCTCAAAACGTGAAGAAAGTGGCTTCAAAAAACCTCAAAAAGCCCAAAGTTGCTGAAAAGTTGCCGATCAGCTTGTAGCTAAGCCTAACAAGCGGCGGCGGAAAGATCAGTGTGCGAGATTACTCAGGGTCGAAATGACAAGATTTCATCCATTTGGTGTCACGTTGTTGTGCTCTTTGGGAGGATACTATTTTCCCGGTGCCCCTCTCCACCCAACAGCATAAGTGGTGACCTTTCCAGGAAAATTTTATGAATTGCGGGAAGGAGGGGGGGCGGTGACCTATAATGAACTATACGTGCATGTAATAATAATAATAATAATAATAATGATAATAATAATAATAATGATGATAATAATAATAATAATAATAGTAATGATAATAATAAAACTTATATAGCGCCGATATCAACATTCCTATTTTCATCAGCGCTTAAATTACCTAGACTACTTAATTAGTAAAATGTTAGATAATTACTCAGCAGTTGTGATAACACACGTAGTCTGACTAGTAAACTGATGATTAGTCTGTAGACTTATGTCTGTCATACGGAGCTAAAGTGGACGTGACACGGGTAAGTGACTTCTTAATAAGATGCTTACTTGCATTCCAACCAGTGATTTCACATTTTATTTTAATTATGAAATTCAAACCTCTCCTACATTTTGCAAATGACGTATTTCAGAAGAAAGATGGTAGTACCCCATTTCATTGCGCATGTGCTCTGGGGAACCTGGATATGGTAAAACGTTTTTATGAATACGACAAGGAGGCTTTGGGCTGTGTTCCTGCGGACAATCAAGGAATGTCTCCACTGCACAGGTCAGTTTTCTCTATTGGGGAAGTGTTTCCTATAACACCACCACCCAGTTAGCCCAATGGATAGTGCGCGGGACTGTTATATGGGAGGTCGAGGGTTCGAGCCCCGGCCAGACCAACCCTCAAGGTCTTAAAATAATTGAGAAGAATTTGCTACCTGTCTATAACATCAAGAAATGGTTATATATTCTAGTCTTCTCGGATAGGGACGAATAAATGGAGGTCCRGTCTCCTGCAGGGTTAGGGGTAGGAGACGTTAATTTCCCACACGCGAGATTACTGTGTGATGGATGTCCTCCCCTGGGGTGGGATGTGTGGGAAGGTGAGATCGATATGGACTGCCAGAGGCGCCTGAGAAAATGCCGATGTCTGTTCTCAACCTTAACAACTTCTCATTGTAACAAATTTGTAATTCAGCTCTCTGCAAAAGGTTTGAATAAACATCATATTAGTATCATATTAGTATAATTATTTCTCACCTAATTAATGAGCTCAAGGTAAGATCAAAGAGTGCTTGACGTCACTTCACTTGATGCGAAAAGTTTGTAACCGGGTAGTTTGTAGGCCTCTCGGTTAATGTTGTTCATGCAACCTTACTCAAGAAATTGGTCACTTCGCAAAAAACGTATCGCACATTAAACAAAATCGAATCTAAAGGTTATTGAATACATAATTTTACCGAGAAGGTTACTTAAGAATGCTAGAAATATGAAATTTATTTGCCGCGGCTGAGTGAGGTGTCAACAATTAATTAATGTCTCGCTCTCTTTCAGGGCTGCTGGGAATAATTAAGCGACAGTCGTAAAGTTCCTCCTGGAAAAGGTACCTTTTCAGGGCTTAGTCGGTTAATTGCTAGTTTTGCGAGTCAGTCCGCCCGTTGGTTCATAGATCGGTTGGTCCAGTCTCTACAATCTTCTGTATTTTAGTGAGGCCTTGAACGTCTCAATTTAGTTCAAACTCTCGTGATTCTGTTTTTTTGGTGCCTCCAGGAAGAGAAATTACTAAAACTGTGTCCAATCATTTTTTATAAATTGACTCCCAGAATTATCCAGTAAATCCCCGAGATGCAAAATGCAGGACACCCTTGTTGTTAGCTTCGGCTGTGGGTGGACAGGAAACTGTCAAAGTTTTGTTGGATTTTTCTGCTGACGTCGCTGTAAAGGATTGTAATCTTCGTTCGGTGTTACATCTCGCCATCGGTCACAACAAGACTCTGGAGGCTCTCTTGAAGGTGAATATCATCGTCTTAATTATCTTTCAAGATGGAGATGACCATGCTTACATTGACAAATAATAAAGTGGAGATATTCTTTCGACAGGCGCCTTTCTCAAAACAGCTTCTAAAAGAGAAAGATGTCCACGGATTTGCCCCGATTCATTATGCAGTTCAGACTGGAAGCCTTCAGGTATGTGTTGGTTTTTCCTTGACAAGAATACCTCTTTTCTTCGTTTGCACCAATTTTTGATCCCTTCTTGAGCTATGAAGTCATTCATATTGTCATGTAAGTTTAGAGAAGTCGAACATGGATTAAAAAAATACCTATAACAGCGGTAACACTTAAATAAGTAGATCACGTGAAAAAAACATTTAACTCTATTTCTATGCAGGATGTCTCTCTGCTTATTTCCTACGACACAGCGGTAACAGAGGTCGTATCTGACTCACTGGACACAGCACTGCATTTGGCTGCAAGGTCGATAATTTTCTAATCCCTGTGCTGAACTGTTTAGTGTTAAGAAAAATTCTGCTTCAGTTAAGTCTTCAAAGTGGGTACTTAAACTATTCAAGTTATTTTAGGCATGGATTTTCTGACATAACCGAGAAGTTGTTAGAAAACAGAAACGAACGCCTCATCAATGCTGAAAACAACCAGAAGAGAACCGCTTTACATCTGGCCTGCATGGAAGGACATCATGCTGTTACCGCTGTCCTGGTAGCAGACTCTACAATACAAGGGTAGGAAACTGAGTCTAAGAAAGAAATTTTTAATTCTCTCGTTGTTTGTAGTTTTGCTACAAAATGTAAGATTAGGTGTCTTCGATTGGTCCATACCTGTCTCCTGCTTGGTAACCTCACCTACCTACAACAAGGGCCTTTAGAAGTTGTGCCTGTCAGTGTTTCCTCAGTAAAGAAAAAGTTATAAAACGAACAAGTTCTTAAAAGAATGACCAGGAAAGTCAACGTTATTAAAGTGATGGGCTGAAATACATTACAGAGGAAAAAATGACAGATTATCTTTTAGTTTTATGTTTCTTTTAACAGGGACATCAATCAACGGACACCACTTCACCTGGCTGCTTCACAAGGCTCACTGAGATGCGTTGAGCTTGTCATCAAGTTTCACCCGGACTGTCTTAACTCCTGGGACCGAAATGAGGTCTTGTGAAATTTTGCAACAAAATCATGTCCGCTAATTAAGTACATAAGCTATCTACCTAATAGTACTAGGATATATGTTTCGTAATTGATCTTTCCTTGAATTCGCTCTCACAGAATACAGCTATACATCTAACCGCCATAGCCGGGCACGCACACATAATACAGTACCTGATGTCCATTGAAGAGCTATTCTTTATGTGTAACGTGCGAAATAAGAACGCTCTAGACCTGGCTATTGATCACGGCAGGGAGAACGTCGCCATGGTGATGATAGGGCATCAGAGGTAACGTCACTTTGTGTTGTCTTATATCTGTTTACGCCTCGTTATGTCACGTCATGTCATACCACGGCACGACTCCTCTTGACAAGTCATTCTATGTTGTATCATGTCACGCGACAGTTTTTAATAACATTATCTCATAGCAAGTCAAGTCATGTTATTTCGTTATGTCATGTCATGTCATGTCATTCCACCGCATGGCTTCTCATGACAAGTCATTCTACGTGATATCATGTCACATGACAGTGTCGAGTAACGTGATCTCATAACCAGGCAAGTAAGCGACTTCGAGTTTATTCCTGGCGTGTTAGTGTCTTTTGATTTTGCCTAATTTTGTTTCCACCAATATCATCATGTTATGTGTTTTATCCATGTATACTATTTATTATTATCAGGCTATTTGAGAAGTTTTCCGTTAATTCTGTTATATATATATTTAGTATAATTTCAGAGCTGAGCAAAGAGTTTCCAGCAATCTGATTGTTCGAGCGGTTCCTTATATGATGCTATATAAACCGCTCCACGCGGTTTGTATAAAATGTTAAAATAAAATGTTAATACATGTACCTAAAATGTTATGATTTTAGAAGTTTCTCTGTTGTTCAGCACTGAAATTATACTAAAACAATTATTCGCCTCAGGTTCGGTGAACATTGTCGAATAATCCCCTCGACTTCGTCTCGGGGATTATTCAGCGAAATTCACCTCGCCTTCGGCGAGTAATTGTTAAATGTATATATATATATATATAATAAATTATGAATTTGCTGCTGTTTTGGACTAAGATCTGTTTCTTGTAACTCTTTTCTTTTCCATTTTTGTGGTGCAGATGGAAGGAAGCTCTTCACTCCACTATAAGCGACAGACAGTCTCAAATAGAACAGCTGGTACAGAAAATGCCCAGAGTAGTTAAGGTCCGTTTTGAACGAACATATTAATGGTGTAGTGTTACATGTCTACAATCTATTTCTGTCACAAGTGAATAAGCGGTTTTTTTAGTTTTAATTAACATCGCCAAAAAATCAGCTCAGTCAAAGATAGAAATACATGTCCATGTACGACTCAAGTCCCTTTCAGTGACAACAGAACCTCTTGACTGAACAATCATTGCTGACTTGTCTTTGTGAACAGTGTCTTTTAGATCACTGTATCGAGGAAGAAGGCCAGGTTACAGATTACAATTACAAGGTAAAGGGTGGCGAAAGTTTACGATGAATTTTACCGTTGCAGTTTGTAAAGGTATTAAAGAATAGTATTTCATCCCGTTCTTTCAGGTAACTTATGACTTAAGATTAATCCAAGGAATGGATGCTAATGGGGATAAAACAAAACATTCCCTGAACCAGTTGAGGGTGAGAAGATTATTCTGCGTTCTTCCAGTACAATAATTCTGTCTTACACTGTCGTCGGTAAACTACATATAAAACAAAATAATTTGGATATATCAACAAAGTTGAAATGGTAAATTGGCCACCGTAACGATTACAAAAGCTGACGTTTCTCGCTCCGACGAAGGGCAAACGCTCGAAACGTCAGCTTTTGTAATCGTTACGGTGGCCAATTTACCATTTCAACTTTGTTGATATATCCAAATTATTTCGTTACTCCCACCGACGCAGCCCCAAACAGTTTCTTTTGAAACTATCAGCTTTTATACATATAAAACAGTCATGATCCAAGGAAATCTGTCTGTGTTCCCCCGAAAAAAATCTATCTTCTGCAAAGTTGATACAGACACCATGATTTTCCTTTGACAATGAGACAAGCTATTAAAAGAAAATCCTAATCGAGGCTTTATTTCTTTATTTGTACAATTTCAGGTTTGTTGTTCTAATCTCAGAAAATAAATTGTGGTTCTACTAGAACAATGGGAAGTTTGCTTCTATCATGATAATCCCATTTCGGTTTATCCTTTAATCACCAAATAACACTTATATTAAGAACAAAAAAACCAACAAGGAATAACAATTCCTGCTAAACCATGAAAACTGTCAATAAAGTCACCGATACTGTTAAGGAAAAAGATGAAAGACGAGAGTTTTCGACGACGGTTATATCCTAATGACCGTTGAATGAGAAAAAAAAAAAAAGAAAGAAAAACACATTTTGTTTAGCTTTTATAATAGTTGCAAAATCGTAAGGGTAAGTTTGACAGCATCTTGCTGGTTTTTGATTCGTTTCAGGCGATGGTGAAATACAAAAGAGAGGAATGTATCGGTCATCCGGTTTGTTACAGTTTAATGAGCCTCAAGTGGTGAGAATGACTCAAAATCTTCATCCCATCCTTTATGCTTATCAGATGACTGATGAAAAACTGTTATGAGTGCTAGAAATATTTGTTAACGAATTTAATGACACTAAATCGGTGGCGGAAATCTACGTGTTTTTGCAGGAAGAAGTTTGGTTGGATCACGTTCATGCTGAATTTCTTCATGTTTCTTTTGTTCTTACTTGTACTGACATATTTTGCGGTAAAAAGTGAAGGTGAATCGAAGGGAAACACTTGTGATGTGGAATGCAAAAACCAGGTGATCAAGCTTTGCAGCTTCTTTTTGAAGGTTCAAATAGTTGCGATCTCGACGACTTTATATAACAGAGAGCAAATTTTTTAAAGCAATGTTATTAAGGTGCATTAAACGCAATGATCTCTGAACGTGGTATAGCATGCAGTAGCACTTTAAGCGTTATCAAGTAAAAAATCTTTATAAGTAACCTCACATCGTCTCCGTTTGGCTGAATAAAAAGCCCTGGTGGCCAATAACACTTATCTATTCTTTTCTTTTAAGAGAAATGACACATATTTTGCTGTGACCATTTTAATGGCGTTTAGCTTGTTCTCGATAATCAAAGAGCTCCTGCAGTTGTACAGACTGGTGAGAATAGCAACTAACATGACAGAATTTGTCAATAAGTCAGTCAGTCAGTCAGTCAGTCAGTCAGACAGTCAGTCAGTCAGTCAGTCAGTCAGTCAGTCCGTCAGCCCGTCAGCCCGTCAGTCAGACAGTCAGTTAGTCAGTCAGTCAGACAGACAGCCAGTCAGTCAGTCGGTCGGTCGGTCAGTCCGTGTCAGTCAGTCAGTCAGTCAGACAGACAGCCAGTCAGGCAGACAGTCAGTCCGTCAGTCCGTCAGTCCGTCAGCCCGTCAGTCAGACAGTCAGTCAGTCAGACAGACAGCCAGTCAGTCAGTCAGTCAGTCAGTCCGTGTCAGTCTGTCAGTCTTTCAATCAGTCAGCCAGCTAGTCATGCGGCCATGCAGCCAGCCACTCAGTCAGTCAATCAGTCAATCAGTCATTCAGTCTGTCAGTCAGTCAGTTTGTCAGTTAATCAATCATTTGGTCGCTCATGGTATACCCACACTTTATATTTGTCGGCCGAAACAAGATTTGGAGTGCTTTAACATCCAATGCTATAGCATTAGATATCAGCCTGAAGAGTAATGAAAATCAGGGAATAACTATTCCGTTTTCTCCTTTTCATTCCATAACTAGCGACTGAAATATTTCTGGGATGCCTCCAGCTATATGGATTGGTCTATAAACCTGTTAGCCCTGTTTTACCTGATCTCTAAAGATCCTGGCTGTTTGTGTAAGACGCCTCTTCAGATGAAAGCAGCAGCCTTAAGTCTGTTTCTTGGTTGGCTTAATTTGGTACTATACCTCCGAAGGTCAGCGGTTACAACTGTGATAGATCAACTAGTGTAGTGCGTAACGATCTTCAAAACCGAGCCAGTATTTGTCTTTATTTATTTTTTAAAAACTTAAACGATCAGGCTACGACTGGATTTTTGACTCAAGACGTAGAGGATGATCAAAGCAAATAATAATTGAAATAACTCAGTATACCACGTGATACCCAGCTGCACGCTGGTCTTTGAAAAGAGATTTCGAACGCAGATATTGTGTAAATATTATCTGAGATTAAAAGAGGGTGAAGTGAGAAAGAAATCAACTAAACCAGACTCGCGTAAATTTTTCCTTTTAAATTTTTTCTTCTTTCAGATTGTCAACGTATGGTAGGTTTGTGGTTATGCTGATGACTATGATACAAACTTTACTCAAGGTAAACTGTTAAGCAGCAATTTTAGACTGAGAAACGTTACCTTTTATTGCAATTTGAAGTCTAGTCTGTAAAGTGATTTCTCATTACACTCCATCCATTTTTTTCAGGTTATCATTCTGTTTATCCTCTTTATTTTGGCGTTCGGAGTTTCATTCTACATTCTCATGGGCAATGTTCGTACATTTAAGTTCTTTTATTTTCTCTCAGTATCCATTACCTTATTGCGGGGTACGGTTAATTAAAAAAAAAGAGACAGATACTGAGAATTCCAATGCGAAAGTTTGTATTACGTTCGTTCAAAAGCTCGTAATGGAAATAAATCCTTGGTTTTAAACCTTACAACTGCAAAACTCCGATAAACACTGAGTCACCCGATAACCGACTCTGAAGGAGAAATCAAGCTACAAAACCACAGAATTTGAAACCAGTTTCAAAGAAAACAGTTAAAACTTACATTGGCAGCATCATGCAGTCCTTTGCTTACCTTCAGCGAAAAGTGAACAGCTTAAAAATTGTGAGTCGGAATACGTTGGCTTTAATTTACTGCGAACTGAGAAACTCAGTCACTGTGAGCCTGCTTTGTCAGAAAATAAAGAATTCCATAGTTATTTTTGTTAAAAATATGTAAAACGTTGAGGTAGATATGTGGAGACTGACACCCTATTCACAAAATCAGTAGGGCCCCAACTGCACCTGCAAACTGGTGGTGAGCGTCACGAAGTTTTTTTTTTAATACCTTGCGGGCGTACCTAAGAATGCTCAGTGACCTACCTCCAGCCAATTCTACTGAGTGGCTTTCAATAAACAATTAATCCACTCTATATCCTTCAAGCTCGTTCGTAAATATTTCCCTAACCAATTAATTTTTTACACTTAATTTTTCCCTAGTGTCCTAATTCCTTCGGATCTCTTCTCAAGTCGCTGATGAAGACTTTCATTATGACGCTTGGAGAGCTGAACTTTGAAAATACCTACATGAAAGATGTTAACGTTGAAGTTCCAGTCCTTAACTTTGGAATATTCATTCTTTTTGCGCTCGTTATGCCGATCATTTTGATGAACATGTTGGTATGGAACTTTAAACTTGTATCCATGTTATTCCTGAAAGCTCCTTTTAAACAGTATACGTATCAAATGTGATTTTCTAAAAATATTTCAAAAAAATAGACGAAATTAGATACTTCCTCTCAGTTGATATTTTGCGAGTCACGCAACCCATTTTTAACTGAAGGGAAGAGTAAAGTGAATTTAGTTACCCTGACGGAAGACTTTGCTATCTTAATAACGCCTTCCAGTTATGCAACATAAGACACTGTTGTTCTTGTAAAAGCCTTCTGTAAAGTACTTGAGCCATGACAAAAATAATCATATAGAAATATGCATGAAGAATTTAAGTCTACGCAGCCGGACAACGGGCGGAAAATGTTCCGTCACAAGACTACATAAATCCTGTAATAGCGAATAACTGTATTGTGAACCTCTTAAGAGTGAGGAATTCAAAAATTTCTTCAGATTGGCCTTGCTGTTGGTGACATTGATAACATTCAGAGGAATGCTGTTATGGATCGTTATCGAGTCCAGGTACGTCTTCTTTCTCTTTTTCTTTGTGATTAAGTGACAGTCGCAAAGTCATGATTTACCGAACAGATAAAAAAATGGACAAATTACTTTTAGAAACGAACTCAGATGCGAGTTCTGCAATAGAAAGTAGATTTTTCGAAGCTTTTAGGGCAAAGGAGATCGGTTTGAATTATTGATAGGTTCAAAAGGTAAGAGGACAACAAATGGCGAAGTTTGACCGGACAGGAGACGACAGTTTTGATTCGAAATATGATTCTACGAGTAATCCATCTCTAATATATACGGAAACCCAAGCGGGTCCGTGATATTATACTCTTTGAAAAATATCTTACTATGACAGAAATCAGCCGCGAACTATAAGAATTGTCTTAATTTCAGGTCGAACTTCTTCTAGAGTTGGAAGAATCCCTCCCAAAATGGCTTTTACGCCGTCTGACGGTCAAAGAACACACCGAGTATCCAAATCACCCAAAGACAATTTGGACAAAGGTGATAATAAGAGAGTGTTACTTATCTGACTTGGAAGGTCAAAGCTATCAGATTATTAATCATTATCTTAACTGATGAGTTAAAGGAATTTAGATATGTACTTGTTTTAATGATATAAAATGGATATATCAACAAAGTTGAAATGGTAAATTAGCCACCGTAATGATTACAAAAGCTGACGTTTCGAGCGTTAGCCCTTCGTCGGAGCGAATAGAGGAATTGTGCGTTGTGTGTGCTTTTAAAGGCAGAAAATGGAGCTACGTTATTGGTGGGAGCATGGCAA